TTTGGATGCCCGGAGCCAACTGTAGGCCACTTCGTGCTCTTGGACTTCCCAGAACTCCATTCCTGGGTATGATTTTGAATGCCCGGAGCAAACTGTAGGCCACTTCGTGTTCTTCGAGTTCCCAGAATTCCATTCCCTGGCCACATTTTGAATGCTGAGGCAGGCTGATGCTGAGGCTGAGGCAGGCTGAGGCAGGCTGAGGCTGAGGCCGAAGCTGAAGGCAGACTCAGGCTGAGGCTGATGCAGGCTGAGGCTGAGGCTGAAGCAGGCTGAGGCTGAGGCTGAGGCTGAGGCTGAGGCTGAGGCTGAGGCTGATGCAGGCTGAGGCTGAGGCAGGCTGAGACTGAAGCCGAGGCTGAAGGCAGGCTGAGGCTGAGGCTGAGGCTGAGGCTGAGGCTGAGGCAGGCTGATGCTGAGGCAGGCTGAGGCTGAGGCTGAGGCTGATGCAGGCTGAGGCTGAGGCAGGCTGAGGCTGAGGCCGAGGCTGAAGGCAGACTGAGGCTGAGGCTGAAGCAGGCTGAGGCTGAGGCTGAGGCAGGCTGAGGCTGAGGCTGAGGCAGGCTGAGGCTGAGGCAGGCTGAGGCTGAGGCTGAGGCTGCAGGCTGAGGCTGAGGCAGGCTGAGGCTGAGGCCGAGGCTGAAGGCAGATGAGGCTGAGGCTGAAGCAGCTGAGGCTGAGGCAGGCTGAGGCTGAGGCTGAGGCAGGCTGATGCTGAGGCAGGCTGAGGCTGAGGCTGAGGCTGATGCAGGCTGAGGCTGAGGCAGCTGAGGCTGAGGCCGAGGCTGAAGGCAGACTGAGGCTGAGGCTGAAGCAGGAGGCTGAGGCTGAGGCTGAGGCTGAGGCTGAGGCAGGCTGATGCTGAGGCAGGCTGAGGCTGAGGCTGAGGCTGATGCAGGCTGAGGCTGAGGCAGGCTGAGGCTGAGGCCGAGGCTGAAGGCAGACTGAGGCTGAGGCTGAAGCAGGCTGAGGCTGAGGCTGAGGCAGGCTGAGGCTGAGGCAGGCTGATGCTGAGGCAGGCTGAGGCTGAGGCTGAGGCTGATGCAGGCTGAGGCTGAGGCAGGCTGAGGCTGAGGCCGAGGCTGAAGGCAGACTGAGGCTGAGGCTGAAGCAGGCTGAGGCTGAGGCTGAGGCAGGCTGAGGCTGAGGCTGAGGCAGGCTGATGCTGAGGCAGGCTGAGGCTGAGGCTGAGGCTGATGCAGGCTGAGGCTGAGGCAGGCTGAGGCTGAGGCCGAGGCTGAAGGCAGACTGAGGCTGAGGCTGAAGCAGGCTGAGGCTGAGGCTGAGGCAGGCTGAGGCTGAGGCTGAGGCAGGCTGATGCTGAGGCAGGCTGAGGCTGAGGCTGAGGCTGATGCAGGCTGAGGCTGAGGCAGGCTGAGGCTGAGGCCGAGGCTGAAGGCAGACTGAGGCTGAGGCTGAAGCAGGCTGAGGCTGAGGCTGAGGCAGGCTGAGGCTGAGGCTGAGGCAGGCTGAGGCTGAGGCTGAGGCTGAGGCTGAGGCTGAGGCTGAGGCTGAGGCTCAGGCTGAGGCAGGCTGAGGCTGAGGCCGAGGCTGCAGGCAGACTGAGGCTGATGCAGGAGCAGGCTGAGGCTGAGGCTGAGGCAGGCTGAAGCTGAGGCTGAGGCTGATGCTGAGGCAGGCTGAGGCTGAGGCTGAGGCTAATGCAGGCCACTGCGACTGTCATCGCGAATGCGACTACGACTGCGAGAACAGCAGAACTCTACAACTGGATTCTCATCTGAATCTTAAGGGGGATGCTTCCAGATATGCTCCTACACATCGCTGTTAGGTTGCTTTGCCGGGATAATTACCTAACAGCGAAGACTGATAGGTTTCTAGTTGACTCAAAAGAGCTCACAGATCACTCCACAGGGGGGTCCGGGCAGGCGTTGGGAGTTGCCGGCCGGGCCTGTGCCGGGCTCGTTTTTCACCAACAGTCACACACTTCGTGCTCGTCGACCTCCCAGAACCCCTTCCCAGGCCACATTCTGAATAACCGGATGCAACTGTAGGCACTTCGTGCTCTTCGACTTCCCAGAACTCCATTCCCGGGCCACATTTTGAATGCCCGGAGCCAACTGTAGGCCACTTCGTGCTCTTCGAGTTCCCAGAACTCCATTCCCGGGCCACATTTTGAATGCCCGGAGCCAACTGTAGGCCACTTCGTGGTCTTCGAGTTCCCAGAACTCCATTCCCGGGCCACATTTTGGATGCCCGGAGCCAACTGTAGGCCACTTCGTGGTCTTCGAGTTCCCAGAACTCCATTCCCGGGCCACATTTTGAATGCCCGGAGCCAACTGTAGGCCACTTCGTGGTCTTCGAGTTCCCAGAACTCCATTCCTGGGCATGATTTTGAATGCCCGGAGCCAACTGTAGGCCACTTCGTGTTCTTCGAGTTCCCAGAACTCCATTCCCGGGCCACATTTTGAATGCTGAGGCAGGCTGAGGCTGAGGCTGAGGCAGGCTGATGCTGAGGCAGGCTGAGGCTGGCTGAGGCTGATGCAGGCTGAGGCTGAGGCAGCCTGAGGCTGACGCCGAGGCTGAAGGCAGACTGAGGCTGAGGCTGAAGCAGGCTGAGGCTGAGGCTGAGGCAGGCTGAGGCTGAGGCAGGCTGAGGCTGAGGCTGAGGCAGGCTGAGGCTGAGGCTGTGTCTGTGACTGCCGTTGCCACTGCGACTGTCATCGCGAATGCGACTACGACTGCGAGAACAGCACAATTCTACAACTGGATTCTCATCTGAATCTTAAGGGGAATGCTTCCAGATATGCTCCTACACATCGCTGTTAGGTTGCTTTGCCGGGATATTTTTTTTCAGTATTTCGTTGGTGGTAGTGCGCGCATGAAACTGAGGCTGCGACGCTTCCGGGCTTAAATTCTTTACGCTTCGCGTATCCCCACCAGCCCATCTCACAGCAGCAACTCTTGCGAAGCATGCTGACAGTCGTGTTTTTCAGGCGTGTGTCCGCTTGGCCCCGCATATCTCCCCTGTTCCTCCTTCTTCCCGCCTCCTTGTACATCCTCCTTGTGGGGGGAGCGGGAGAAGGACGAGGTTGAGGAGGAGGGAGAGAAAGCGCTCCTCGTGATTTGAGTCGTTTGGGGTTTCTCGTCCTGGTGTGAGTCGTTTGGGCCCTTCTTCCTGGTGTGAGTCGTTCGGGCTCTTCGTGGTGTGAGTCGTTCGGGCTCTTCGTCCTGGTGTGAGTCGT